TAGATTCTTAGGCTTATTTTACTGATAAAAAATTAAAATTCCAGTATTGTACTGATGCTCTTAAAATGACACGGGACATGATGATGAATGGGCAGCTATCCCATCTTAACATTCCAGAAGAATGAGACAATTATGGAGTTTCTCTATTCACAGCTTGTATGTGCTAACTCTAGCAGTTGAAATTTTTTTAGTTTTATGTTGACACAAATTTAATTTGAAAAAATGATTTTTGTACATCCTTCAAAATGTAGATTTCTTAAAAGTTCCATAGTTAGTGTCCTAATATAATTTAATACATTATAAAATATTACTAGATGATGAAGAATTAAATGTCTTTAATTTCTTGATCTGAAAACAATTAGAAACAAGATGTGTTTTGGTAAAATGATAATTTGTATAAATCATGCAGATTATGCTTTTGATAAAAATATAAAATTGACATAGTTTCTTCCAAAGTGGATATATTTGTTTTATAAACAGGTAATTACTGACTATGGTTAAGTTTTAAATTACGAGCAATATTTTGGAGTAGAAACTGACCACTTGATGATTCAATTTAAAAGTTCTGCCAGCCTTATCTTGCCAGTCTAGCTTCTTGACATTAAGTCAGAACAAATAATTGATAGTGCCTTAACGGGGTCTTTTCCTTTGCTTTGAAAACAAGAGCAAGCCTGTGAGAAAATTCGTTTATTTCTATGGCACAGAGTATTTCGGCCAGGATTTGACAAAGTGAAATCTGTTTCAAGAAAGTATTTGTAACCTTATTTAATCAATGGTTTAAGAGCATTTAATAAATTCTTATACTAAGCATCAAATTAAACTCTATAATTTAAGAGCAAGAATACTCTAATCTTTTGTTTTCTTGAAATATAATTGATAATACATATCTGTGGGGTACAGAGTTGACTATCAATACCGTGTAAAATATCAGATGATCAAATCAGATAATTATCATATTCTTCATTACAGTACATAGTTATTCTTCGTGCCCACTAACCAATTTCTCACTGACTCCTCTCCCCCTCCCCCTTTCCTGACTCTAGTAACCACAGTTCTGTTCTCTCCTTTTGGAAGTTCAATGTGTTATTGTTTTTGTACTTGTTTTCTTTCCTTTCTTTTTTGTTTTTTTTTNGAAGTTCAATGTGTTATTGTTTTTGTACTTGTTTTCTTTCCTTTCTTTTTTGTTTTTTTTTTCTTCCTTCCTTCTTTTCTTCCTTTCTTCCCTCTCCCCCTCCCTCCCTCCCTCCTTCCTGCTGATGAGTGAAGATGTGCAGTATTTCTCTTTCTGTGCCGGATTTATTTCACCTGACATAATTTTCTTCAAGTTTATCCATGTTGCTGCAAATGGCAGAATTTCATTCTTTTTTATAACTAAATTGTATTCCATTTTATATATATGTATATACCACATTTTCCTTATCCAGTCGTCCATTGATGGACATTTAGGTTGGTTCCATAACTTGGCTATTGTAAATAGAGCCTCAAAAACATGGGAGTTTAGGTATCTCTTTGATGTGATGATTTCCATTCCTTTGGGTATATACTGAGTAGTGGGATTACTGGATCATATGGTCGTTCTATCTGTAGTTGAGAAACCTCCATACTGTTTTCCATAATGGCTGTACTAATTTACAATCCCATCAACTATGTAGAAGGGTTCCCCTTTCTCTGCATCCCTATCAGCATTTGTTATTCTCTGTCTTTTTGATAATAGCCAGTCTAACTGGAGTGAACTGATATCTCAATGTGGTTTTTATTTGCATTTCCCTGATGATTAGTGATGTTGAGTATTTTTTCATATACTTGTTGGCCATCTGAATGTCTTCTTTTCAGAAATGTTCCACTGCCTGTTTTAAAATTGGATTATTTGTTTACTGTTAAGTTTTTTGAGTTCCTTCCATATTCTGGATATTAATCCCTTGTCACATGTACAGATTGAAAATATTTTCTCCCACTCTATAGGTTGTTTTTTCACTCTGTTGTTTCCTTTGCTGTGTAGAAGCTTTTTAGTTTGATATAGTCCCATTTGTTTATTTTTTCTTTTGTTGTCTGTGCTTTGGGAATCTTTTTCATAAAGTCTTTCCCTAGTCCTACTTTCTGGAGTGTTTCCCCTATATTTTCTTCAAGACGTTTTATAGATTCAGGTCTTATATAAGTCTTTAATCCATTTTGAGTTGATTTTGGTATATGGTGAGATGTACAGGTCTAATTTCATTCTTCTACACATGGATATCAAGTTTTCTCAGCACCATTTGTTGAAGAGACTGTCCTTTCCCTATTGTATGTTCTTTGTGCCTTTGTCAAAGATCAGTTTTCTGTAAATATGTGGGTTGATTTCTAGGTTGTCTCTTCTGTTTCTTGGCCCATGTGTCTGTTTTTATGTCAGTACCATGCTGTTTTGATTCCTATAGCTTTGTAGTATAGTTTGAAGTCTGGTAGGGTAATGCCTCTGGTTATTATTATTATTATTATTTTGCTCAGGATTGCCTTAGTTATTTGGGGTCTTTTGCTTTTTCATATGAAAGTTAAGGTTATTTTTTCTATTTCTGTGAAGAATGTTTGTATTTTGATGGGGACTACATTGAATCTATAGGTCTATTTGAGTAGTATGGACATTTTTACAATGTCAGTTTTTCCAATGCATGAACATGGAATGCTTTCCCATCTTTTTGTGGCCTTTTTAATTTCATTCAGCAGTATTTTATAGTTCTCATTGTAAGGATCTTTCACTTCCTTGGTTAAATTTATTCCTAGGTATTTTATTCTTTTGGTAGTGATTGTAAATGGGCTTGCTTTCTTGATTTCTTTTTCTGCTAGTTTGTTGTTGGTGTATAAAAGCACTGCTATTTTTTGTGTATTGATTTTGTATCCTGCAACTTTGCTGAGTTTACTTATCAGCTCTAGAAGTTTTTTTGATGGAATTTTTAGGTTTTTCTGTATATAGGATTATGTCATCTGTGAAAAGGGACACTCTGACTTTGTCTTTTCCAGTTTGGATGCCCCTATTTCTTTGTCTTCCCCAATTGCTCTAATACTTCCAATACTGGGTTGAACAGGAGTGGTGAGAGTGGGCGTCCTTGTCTTGTTCTGTTCTTAGAGGAAAAGCTTTCAGCTTTTCTCCATTCAGGATGATATTGTCTAGTCTTAACAAAGCTGGGAGATTCTCAAAGTTCCAAATATAGAGCAGGGAAGTTATTTATGCATTGGGATTTCCTAGACTGTCTTTAAACATAAATTTAATAGTAAAGGCATGTCATTTACACAATGATCTTTAGAATCTCTGTAATAGTAATAGTAGACAATGATTTTTCTTCCATAGATTTCTCACACTTCCCTCTCCATAAGTGGTCTTTTTTAATACTTGCTATATCCTCATGCTATAAATTTCTCTTATCTTTCTCTTCACAGTTAAACTTTTTTGAGAACAATTTAAACAGTGGAATATATACCTAAAATAAAGCAATGTAGGACTTTTTCTCCATTGAAATCTTAAACAATCCCAATATGAAAACCAGATAAAAGTGGAGCTCCTTTTCTTAAAGGGCAAGGCAGGAGTCCTACCCATGAGCCTACTCGCTTGTTCTTTCCTCATAACTGCCCTGAGGCACCACTGTTGGACACTGGGGTTAATTTAATAATTGATTTCAGCTTTTAAATCCTGTGGCATAGGTTATTCATCCTTTGTTCCCATCTAATCTCCTATTGTCAATTCTCTGAAATGGCACTAGCCAGTAAGTAGCATTAGATATTTATTTATTTATTTGGTTTACTATTGTCTATTACTCTACTGGTGTATAGATGCCATGTGGAGAGGAATTGTCTGTCTTGTTTACTGCTATTTCCTCGGGGCTTGGAAGAGTCCTGCACAAGTAGGTGCTCCAAAATTGTTTTTGAATGAACTCAAGAAAGAATGAAACTTGAATGACTCTGGCTTCCACGTACTTCTAAAAATAGCTGTCAAGTGTCCCCAGTGAACTCTCAGTTACCACTCTGTTATTGGAGAATACTTGAAGAAGAGTGTTCACTACTTCCTCTTGAAACTCTCCTCCCAGAACTTCAGCACCATTGAGTTGTCTTATATCTGTACCTTGTCTGTCCTCCCTGGAGCCTCTTCTCCCTCCTGCCCTTTAGATTAACATTTCCCCAGGAGCCAAGTTGTTTTTTCCCTTACTCCTTTGATACAATCATTCACTGCTTTGATGTTAGTGCTTGTATCTATAGAGATGATGCTCAGTCATCTTAGTTCATTTAAAATAAAATAAATGATATTTAGTGAGTATCTGAAGTATAACAAAGGTGATGAAAAGAGCTCAGAATAATCTTAGTCCTGACTTCAAGGACCTCAGAATCTCGTGAAGACACCAAACATGGGAGTAAACAATTGAATGCAACATGTAAAGGGCATGTTATAAGTATATACAAAGAGGAAGAAGTGACTCATTTTGGACCAAGAATGTTTTACAGAGGAAGCAGTATTTGAATAAGACAAGAATAGGAATTTTTCAGTTGAAAAATAAAAGATGAAGGGTACTTCAGAAGGGAAAGAACATGCATGTGCTTGACGAATGATGAATAGATCTGTTTGAGCCGAGGAAAGTATCTATGATGAGTAGTGCATAGATTTAAAAAAAGAAAAATACAAGTGACTGACATGATCAGAGTGGGTAAAGACAGTCAGTAGCTATTTTTGCAATAGCTCATTATTGCAACGTTATTGACTATCTTATTCTAATAACTCATCTTCCAATTTCCAAGATATCAGTCGACTAATCTGTGCTCCATTGATGCTGGGATGAGGTTCCAAAGGCCAGCTTCAGTCATGTTACTCCTCAACTCAGAAACCTTCAGTGGCTTCCTATTGTTCACTAAACTAAAAGCAAATTTCCCTCAACAATCATAATGGTACACCGTAAGAATGCAAATTGACTTTTCTGTCTCATTCATTCATTATAGCCACATTTTTTAGAATTGGTGTTTTGATGATAGTTTTTTTCTATTACACTTATCCTTCCGTAGCCACCTGGCATGCCATCTCAGTTTTGCAATCTCTCTGGTTATCATGATTAGGTAGTATCTCTCTGCTCTTGATATTGCAAAGCAGTCTGTGCTTCTGAATCATTCACATGCTTGTGCTAAGCCTTCTCTGTGGCTGTGGTCTCCTTGAGGAAGGAGAGTGTTTTATACACTCACTGACTTGTCTCCTTTCACCTGTTCACTCTTTGCACAGTGCATTGTCTCTAGTAAGAACTCAATAAATATTTGCTAAATTGAATTATCAAAATGATTTATTGGATTTTCAAAGCTAGGGATCATGAATTTGACAATTTTTTATGTCCTCTGAGCTCTAATCATACTATTATATGTGTTGACATAGTCAATAAATATTTATTGAATTGAACTGAGATGTGTGTACTAAGCTCAGTCTGTAGTTTGTCCAATTTGTTTGATGCATTAGAAAAAATCCATATCCAATTACAACAGTAAATCATGTGTAAAGTTCTCAGGGAGTGCTGTAATGACACCTTTTCTCTCTCTTTCTATCTAGGGAGCAGTAATGAATGAAATGGAAACAGAACTCATTGGTAGTGACAAATATGCTGCAAGATTTGGGGAATCTATAGTTAATCTTGGTGACCTTGACAACGATGGCTTTGAAGGTAATTAAAAGTATCTAATTTGGTAGTTGATTTTTGCTTTTATAATGGTTCATGGAAGAGAATATGACTGGAGTTTTGTGGTGTTTGCCTTTCTATAGAAAATGGATCCAGAATGGTATGCTGTTTATATCTGTTTTTTTTTTTAGTCTTACATCTGAGTTCTCAATTGCTGCTATTGATCTTTACTGCTGTTAATAAAGGATGATATTTAACATTCTTTATTTCATTGATTCTAAGGCACCATTGATTATAAGTTGCATTATTATTTTGTGTGCCCCTAAAAAAATTGCTGCCTATTAAACTGTGACACCTGCCATTTTTCTATTTTTAAGAAGGATCCTGATTTCAGAAATGATAAAATGGAGATTGGGCAGAGGAAATGTGTATGATAGGCTCTTTGGACCATGGTATTTAACGATAGTACAGTAAAGGTACTGACCAAACCCAACTGAGGTTGGTACAGAGCTGGAGCAGAGTTCTGGAAGCCCCCTGCTGTGCCAGGCATTCCCTGTTCAGTTGCTGCATCTGGGAGGATTTGGGGGTCTCCAGGAGAATCCCGAGCAGTGGTGAGGAGGCATCTGGGAGACTTAGGGACAGTGGCTATTTACCAACTGAAATGGGAGTATTTCAATAATTGAATAAAGGGTATTGTTGTAACTGTGCATATTGCACTGGATATCAGCCCAGCTTCTGAAATATCTGTCTATACCAGCATTCCCTCTTAGCATTTGCTTTTTAAATCTAGTACTGTGGGTAACCAAGTCTGTTAAAACTGTGCACAAAATGGCAAAAATATTTGAGAGGAAAGTGTGCAGTTTCCCAGAGTTCAGCAAATAAGTATTTGATACTTATTTTCAGGGCTCAGAATTATGTTTTCTTGATATGGTTATTGGCAATTAATATATGGTAATAATAATAGGGTAAAACTTACTTGGATACTAAAAATAAGTGAGGGGGTGATATAAATTGTCACCTCTTTAATTTCTTCTTATACTTAAATGCTTCAGTCTACTTTAAATGTATAAAATGCATTATTCTATAAGGAAAGAGTTAGTCAGTTATTGAATACATGCTTCCAGTAAGCCTTCTTAATTGTGAAATAGTGTACTTTGGCATACAAATATTATCATTTCTGGATTTTTTTCTTGAATATTTTAAAAATGAAAGGAGAGAAAATATATATGTAATTTTTTGGTTATGATTACACATAACACTTAACAATAAAACATACAAAGTTTTATCATAATTGATGTTACATTTCACAAGTAGTCAGCAATTCTGTGGCATTTATTGAGCATTTATTTTGGATCAGATGTACTATACCAATTACATAGTATGTGCCATAATAAATGGAAGTTAAGAAAATAGGGGCACCTTTTTTAAGAACAGTTTTATTATCTGATGGAAAATAAGATTAAGATATGAAAAAATAAACCTTACTTAGTGGCAAATTTAAAATCCTATCTAATAAAAATCTATAGATAAAACCATATTTATGCACCTTGATATTTCACATGTATTATATGAGATATGCAAATCTTTCTTTTAAAAATAAAAAAAATCACCATTTAGTAAAATACTTACTTTTACTTATGAGTCTTCTATATCTTGTTTTAATTGACACATTAAAGGAAGATCATTCACTATCTGTATGTGCTAAAACATGTATTTATATGCATACATAGGAGAAATAGTTTTTGTGGCATCAAAATGTCAATGACAAAGCTGAATTATTCTTATAATCATATAGAGTTGTAGAACTGTGAGAGATAATTGGCAAGTTCCCTTATCAAAATTACTCTAGACAATTTTCCAGTGGTGGGAAGGACNTTTTTTTTTTTAGTCTTACATCTGAGTTCTCAATTGCTGCTATTGATCTTTACTGCTGTTAATAAAGGATGATATTTAACATTCTTTATTTCATTGATTCTAAGGCACCATTGATTATAAGTTGCATTATTATTTTGTGTGCCCCTAAAAAAATTGCTGCCTATTAAACTGTGACACCTGCCATTTTTCTATTTTTAAGAAGGATCCTGATTTCAGAAATGATAAAATGGAGATTGGGCAGAGGAAATGTGTATGATAGGCTCTTTGGACCATGGTATTTAACGATAGTACAGTAAAGGTACTGACCAAACCCAACTGAGGTTGGTACAGAGCTGGAGCAGAGTTCTGGAAGCCCCCTGCTGTGCCAGGCATTCCCTGTTCAGTTGCTGCATCTGGGAGGATTTGGGGGTCTCCAGGAGAATCCCGAGCAGTGGTGAGGAGGCATCTGGGAGACTTAGGGACAGTGGCTATTTACCAACTGAAATGGGAGTATTTCAATAATTGAATAAAGGGTATTGTTGTAACTGTGCATATTGCACTGGATATCAGCCCAGCTTCTGAAATATCTGTCTATACCAGCATTCCCTCTTAGCATTTGCTTTTTAAATCTAGTACTGTGGGTAACCAAGTCTGTTAAAACTGTGCACAAAATGGCAAAAATATTTGAGAGGAAAGTGTGCAGTTTCCCAGAGTTCAGCAAATAAGTATTTGATACTTATTTTCAGGGCTCAGAATTATGTTTTCTTGATATGGTTATTGGCAATTAATATATGGTAATAATAATAGGGTAAAACTTACTTGGATACTAAAAATAAGTGAGGGGGTGATATAAATTGTCACCTCTTTAATTTCTTCTTATACTTAAATGCTTCAGTCTACTTTAAATGTATAAAATGCATTATTCTATAAGGAAAGAGTTAGTCAGTTATTGAATACATGCTTCCAGTAAGCCTTCTTAATTGTGAAATAGTGTACTTTGGCATACAAATATTATCATTTCTGGATTTTTTTCTTGAATATTTTAAAAATGAAAGGAGAGAAAATATATATGTAATTTTTTGGTTATGATTACACATAACACTTAACAATAAAACATACAAAGTTTTATCATAATTGATGTTACATTTCACAAGTAGTCAGCAATTCTGTGGCATTTATTGAGCATTTATTTTGGATCAGATGTACTATACCAATTACATAGTATGTGCCATAATAAATGGAAGTTAAGAAAATAGGGGCACCTTTTTTAAGAACAGTTTTATTATCTGATGGAAAATAAGATTAAGATATGAAAAAATAAACCTTACTTAGTGGCAAATTTAAAATCCTATCTAATAAAAATCTATAGATAAAACCATATTTATGCACCTTGATATTTCACATGTATTATATGAGATATGCAAATCTTTCTTTTAAAAATAAAAAAAATCACCATTTAGTAAAATACTTACTTTTACTTATGAGTCTTCTATATCTTGTTTTAATTGACACATTAAAGGAAGATCATTCACTATCTGTATGTGCTAAAACATGTATTTATATGCATACATAGGAGAAATAGTTTTTGTGGCATCAAAATGTCAATGACAAAGCTGAATTATTCTTATAATCATATAGAGTTGTAGAACTGTGAGAGATAATTGGCAAGTTCCCTTATCAAAATTACTCTAGACAATTTTCCAGTGGTGGGAAGGACCTACTGAAAGTGCTCTATCCAGGAGACATAGGAAGGGGACTTTAGTGCAGTTTTTCAGGTTACATGTGAGAACCTAGGTTTTAGACAGCATTTCTTTTTCTGAAAGCACTCAGCACACCACTCCTAAAGGTATATCTGGAGGATTATTCAAATGACTTTTTAATATTTCTGCATATTTTTGTTCTATTGATAGTTTCATCATTTATGATCTCATTTACAATTGACAACATGTTTATATTTAGTGGCTCCAATAATACTGCAATGAATGCTTATAACACCGTATATCTTTTCTACTTGGTCCAGTTGTAATTTTATTTTCTATTTTGCCCATGAGTAGACATTTTCTACATTTTCGATATTAGCAAGGCCATGCTGATTAGGAAGTAGGGTCACTGTGTTCTAGTTCTTAACTCTTACTGTGTCTGCCTGCGTGAGACAGCAGGGCACCTGCTTGTTACTTTTGCGCATTTCCCTATTCCTTTGCCCCGTCTTCTATCTTATCGTATTTTTCTGGGGTAGGTGGCTGAAAATACTTTCTATTCATGGCAGAAATTTGTGAGATTGTGTAGAGATGGAAAGAAACCCCACTTACTCTTTTTTTTCCCCCATCCCTAGTATTAGTACTAGATGCAAATTATACTTACTTTTATTATGCAAAACTTTGTGGTGCTTTGCATAGCAAAGCTAAGTTATTTTGGCATTTGTCGTATAGTTTTTTTTTTTTACTGTTCTTCAAAAGGAAAAAATCAGACTATATTTCCTGTGTCCCTAGAAAAGCAAAGTAAACCATTTTCTAAGGAGATGATCAATAAGTTTGGCAAAAGTCCAATGTAAAAACCTATCAAAAGTATGAGATAGTTGTGGAATAGGTAGGTGGGTAAATAAATACAGACAAACTGGCTAACACAACTGACATGAACAACAGACAGATAG